CCTCACAGTCTCCTGGTGATTGGCCCAAAGTCACCCAGCCGGCTTTCGTGCCTAAGGCGCGACTAGAACTCACAGTCTCCCGGTGATTGGCCCAAAGTCACCCAGCCGGCTTTCGTGCCTAAGGCGGGATTAAACCTCACAGTCTCCTGGTGATTGGCCCAAAGTCACCCAGCCGGCTTTCGTACCTAAGGCGGGACTAAACCTCACAGCTGTCTGGTTTCCAGTCTGATGCCTTAACTACAACGAGGTTGAAGATTTCAACTTATATCAGGTTGTAGGTTAGAAGAAAGGGTGATTTTCCTACATTTCTCATTTTATCCTTGGGTCAACCTTCTACTTGGTTTGGTTCCATTGCAGGCTTGACTGGGGGCCTGGGAAGGGCCAGCGTCTCCTCTGGCACCAGCGAGATCAAGCGGGAGGACAAGGAGGATGACGAAAACACATCAGTGGCTGACAATTCAGAAGAGGAGAAAAAGGAACTGAAGTCATCTCGAAACAGAACAAGGTGCTCACTGAACAGGTCTCAACCTTTCTCTGTTCCCTTTGGAGGCTAACCGGGCAGGACAAAATCCTGGCCCTGTAAGGAAAGCCTAAGGCAAAACAGCCTTCTCTAAAACCTATCAGTCTTGGGGGAGAATCCCCCCCCCCCCACACACAGTTTTCAAACCTCTAGGAACCTCCCACCAATATTTAAAGGGCCAACCTCTTGCGAAACTGGGGCAGGTTGTCTTGTTGGAGAAATGGATCAGGAAGAACCTCCCTCTTAATTTTTATTCTTTTTATTCATCAAATTTAGAAGCCATCCATCTCCCTCCTAGAGAAGGAGAGATTTTTTCCAGCTCAGGCAATTCCTTTGGCTGGCTAATCAAAAAGAGATAAAAAGATATCGGTGGTGGTTTGTTGGTTGGTTTGTTTTTTTCACATTGATTTTAGTTTTATTCGGTGCATGCATATTTTCAAATTTTGCTCCGGAAATTCCCTGAGAAATTGTGGAGAAGCAGAACCACCCTAACTGAGACAACGTGACTTAATAGCTTTCGGTTCTATTTATCTCCCCTGATCCTTTGCCCCCCCCCCCCCCGCCGCCCGCCCGCCATTTCCTTGCAAAGGTCCTGAGGAGAGGAGAAAGGCCTGGCTTACTTCCTTGAGCCTCTCTTTTATCCCACACACAAATGTAAAATGTGCTCTAGAACAGTCAACCCAAATTTTATTTAGGGAATACAGCTTCATTCACAACATTGGGGGGGGGGGGCTATCAGGCATGCATGTAGTAAATCAGGGGTAGGCAACCTTGGCTCTTTTATGACTGGTGGACTTCAACTCCCAGAATTCCTGAGCCAGCATGGCTCAGCTTGGAAACCTCTCCCTTTCCCCTCAGCATGGCTGGCTCAGGAATTCTGGGAGTTGAAGTCCACGAGTCATAAAAGAGCCAAGGTTGCCTACCCCTGTAGTAAATTTTGACCAAAGATGGCAAAATAGATGAATTTCTACCTTTCCTTTTCAATTATCTTAAAAGAAAAGAAAAAAAACACCACCATTGTGATGCTTGTTTTCTGTCGTGTGTGCATGTAGGGGTGCGCACATGTGTGTATTATATGTATTACAGTTTTCCTTTTTTTTTGTGAACATATTCCGGTGCTGAGGTGTGCACACACGAAAAATGTCCCCCCTTCTCCTTGTTTCATTCTTATTTCAAATTATCAGTCAAGATGAGGATGAGGAGGAGGACGACCTTCTTCCCCCAGAGCAAAAAGCCGAGCGAGAGAAAGAGAGGCGGGTGGCCAATAACGCTCGGGAGCGCCTGCGTGTCCGCGACATCAACGAGGCCTTTAAAGAGCTTGGGCGCATGTGCCAGCTACACCTTAACAGCGAAAAACCACAGACCAAACTGCTAATCCTACATCAGGCCGTGTCGGTTATTCTGAATCTGGAACAACAAGTTAGAGGTCAGTGGAGGCTTCCGATGTGGTGACGTTTCGGAACGGCATGGGGCTGTCTGTCTGACCCTTTCAACCTTGCCCCCCGGCCCACCGTGGTGGGCAGGCCTGCCCGACGCTCTCCATCCTGCTGACGTTTTCCTGCATCCTTTTTGTTTTGTGTTTTTTTTATGACGATGCCTTAAGTTTGGTTTTGTGTTTTACTTCTCTGTTCCATTTTGGTTTGGTTTTTTTTTTTTTTTTTTGCATCCCCTGTAATTCCTGTGTTGCATTTGGAATAAGAAAGGAGCTGCCCTTTCTGCATGCCAGCCAGCCTCGTGCCTGTGCGGGGACTCTTTGCTTTTCTCTCCGTTCTTCCCTTCTCTGCTACTTAGCGCTGGAGAGGGCGGCCCACCCTGGACCTCAGCGCTTTGTTGCTAAACATGGGGAAAGGGCAGCATCTGCAAAGATCAGGTTTCTCGCGCAAACCGAGGATGAGTTCACAGCAAAACCATATAATACCATATCCTTCTTTCCAGCCCCGGCCTCCTAGAACATTTTCGTACACACCTCTTTAAGTACAGATAGTGCTCGGCTTAACAAACATTCGTTTAGCAACCATTACGACGGCACTGAAAAAAGTGCCTTATGACCATTTTTTTTTACATTGACAACACTTGTAGCATCCCCAGGGTCACGTGATCAGAATTCAGACATTTGGCAACGGGCCTGTATTTCTGACGGTTGCCCTGTCCCAGGGTCCTGGGGTCACCTTTTGTGACCTTCTGACAATCAAAGTCATTGGGGAAGTCAGGTTCCCTTAACAACTGTGCCGAGAAAAGTCGTAAAATGGGGCAAGCCTCACTTAGCAAATGTCTCACTTAGCAACATAGATGTTGGGCTCAACTGTGGTCGTAGGTCGAGGAGTGCCTGCAGTAAAGCGTAGACTTAGGGCTTGGGAAATCCTCAACACTGAAAAGAAATGGTACCGTGTCTTCAAAGTTACTATCTCTGCTTCCCCACTCAAGATCTTGTTTTGGTGGGAGAATTTCTTTATCCTGTGATAAAAGTTCCCTGTGGAAAATACATGAATGTAAATCCCTCTGCCTAGAATAGTCTCAAGATACATGTGGTGTAGTCTGTGGTGTAGCTCTTCAGGGTGCCTCTCTCTGCCCATCACCAGGAATGACTGAATTTGGACCATGAGTGATACCTTGAAAAGGAGGTATACAGGGAGAATAGGGAACATACACCTGGGAGACACATGTGTGTCCAAGCTTGTGGTAGTGTTAAGATCTGGGACCAGCACCTTGTAGCATTGAAAGATGCCCAGAGGACCTGGGATTTTGACTTACGTGGAAACGTGTGAGGTTCTGACTTTGAAGGTCATTTTCTGTCTATAACCCAAGTCTTGCCATCCCACCGTGGTCCCAGAACCCAACTTAAACCTCAGAAGTCATCAGTCATCCCTGCAGAAGTAGAATTCAGGGATCACTGTTAGGATTCTAGGATGCAGGATGTCCCGGAGGAAGGAAGGAGAGAAATTTGAAAATGGGTCTCTGCGGCTACCCTAGAGGAAAGATGGACTCCCACCAAGTGTAGTTGTGCTATTATTATTATTTTTTTCCTGCTGGGAATGCTGTAAACGCTTGGCTGTGCATGTGAGCATCTAACCTTCCTTTCTTGGAAACCCATCCCGTGGGGTTATTATCTTGGCAGATTTGACTCTTTTTTTCCTCTTCCTCAAGAGAGGAAGCGGCTGTATTTACCGTCAGGATCCACCGCCTGTTTTGTACTCCGCTGTCATGTTGCAATGCTGGAATTCATTTATGCTTTTCTCTCCTTCACTTTTCTTTTCTCTTTTTTGCCTGTCATAACATGTATAACTTTGATTTCCTTGTCCAACGTTTTCTTGTTCTTCTCCCCCTTCTCCCCCATCCTTTACCTGCTTTCCTACAGACAGTCCCCAGCCGTGACCTCTCGGTGGTTCCCACCCTCTACCTTGTACTTGCTGCTTGCTCAGAGAGAGAGAGAGAGAGAGAAAAAAAACAGGAATGGGGAAGTGGGTTGGCGCAGGGAGCAGGAAAGGAACGATCTGTGAGAGGAAGAGTTGGCGCAGGGTCCTCTCATTTGCAGTTCTTCGGGCTTTGGGTTTTTGATTTCGAAAAAAATACAAAGCATTTTACCTGAAATAGAAGATTAGTAAAGTTTTGCCTTGACTGGCCAGCAGTTGGCATTCCTACATTTAATCTCCCTGGGGGGGAAAAATATATTTTTTATTGGATATTTTTGTGGAGCCCTTGGTTCATTCTGACTTGGCTGTTTTCTTGCAGATGTTCCATTAACCAATTAGGTAACATCAGTGCTAGCACTTTCCTAGCGCTGATGATGTTACCTAGTTGGGTAATGAAATGTCAGCAAAAACACAACCGAGCTCAGAGAACGCCAAGGACCTCACAGATCAACCCTGAGGTACAAATATTCCCTTCTAGGGAAATTTTTTGATCCCTTGGATATTTTTATAAAAGCTCTTAACAAGGGAGAGGATCCATCAGATGAGCCTCATATTTCTGAGAGTTGACATCTGTCATCCTAGAAAAGGCAGCCCAGAACATTTTTTTCCAGCAAAAACGCAGTGAAGATTGAAGTTAGAACGGGACCCTCACTACATACAGGCTTCTACTTCTTATAGTACCTTGGATGGGTTTTCTGCAGGACTTTCTCTTCTCCCTTTCAATCCCACCAGTTACGAATTTATTTAAGGATTTATTAAGTTGCTATCCTTTTGAGAGGGTGCTACTTTATTTTATATAGGCCAAAACACTGTGGAATATCTAGCCATTGTTAACCAGGCAGCACTGATAGCTGATAGCTATTCTCAATACTCTTCTAAAGTTTAAATTTGCTTTGGGATAAGAGTAAGTTTGCACAGATTATTATAGCACATGAAAGGATTGAATTCCTCTTGACAGGAGCCACTGATCCGAAGAGTTAAATGTAGCCCCAAGAGTTTGGATACAGTTTCAGTTTTGTTTGCTATAGTCCTTGATTTATATTTCCTCAAATCATAGCTAGCTATTACAGTTCCTATAGATGTGGCTATGTAGGTTTAGTTTTAAATTGACTTTGACAATCCTTTAAATAATTATGAATTTAAAATGTGAACTTGGCTTGGAAATATGTCCTGCTGCATTCAGTGAGACTTGCTTTTAAGCCGTATTGATAACTCCCATGCAGGAGTAGCAAAAAAAAAAAATAACCAGACCATGGTTATTATTGGAAAAATAACAGTCAACTTGGTTAATTTCAAACTTGGTTACTTCTACTGTTGCTTAGTTTGTTGTGGATAGATTTTGCTTGGATAACTTGTAGCTCGGTGATTTAGGTGTTAATTCTGGGATAATGGCTTTAATTCTGTAACTCCGATGAGTAAACTGGGTGGATCCATACCTTGTCTGAATTTTGAAGGCATACCAGAAGGAGATGGCACTTAAGTGAGCCCTACATTTTTAGCTACAATTTTTAAATCCATTGGATCTAAAATTCATTCTGGATTTAGGCTGAATTCCCAGACAAGATCATAGGAGAATCCAGACTGCCATTTGACTGTGAAGCTTACCCCAAAAAAAAGGGTCATTTTCAGAGTGAAGTTTCCCAAGTAGAAAGTGAATCACTGAAAAGAGAAAGTAATTGGGAAGTTTGTTTTGGATGGTTCTGGATATTAAAAATCAAGAGACCAACATTTACCGGGATTGGTATTACTCTGGCTTACCTTTTGTAGTTAGGAGGGTGGAAATGAAAAGCACACATAAAGACATCCTACTTTGCTTTACTAGTTGGATAAGAAAAGGGTTGCTTAATTCCAAGCTACTATACAGGTCCTAGAATTGTGCCTTCACATACTATTTCAATAGGAAATCTTTTCCAGTGCAAAATGGTTGTGTCCTCAATTCACTATTGGGGACATCCAACTATGCCTTGTCAAAAGAAGGCAATTATATCTACCTTTTAAAGGATTTTTTTTCTTTTTCTCTTTTTTGCTCTGGGGAAAAAGGCTGTCCCTGTATATAAATAGGACATGATGGGGCAACATGGGAGGGAAAAGGATTTCCAAGGTTCAATCTGCCAAAGTTTAAGGTGCTGCCAATGCTCATAACTATTTTAGATGGGATCAGTCTTGATTATGCTGAGTTTGATTATAAGTATTTTGCCGGTGGCTTGGGGGAAGATGGGCAATATTTCAGATAAGCAAGCTATTCTTTTTTAGATGTTGATCTTTCCAGAGCTGGTACAGGTAGTCCTCGAATTACAATCATTCTTTTAACAACTGTTCAAAGTTACGACGCTGCTGAAAAAAGTGACCTGTGACCACTTCTCACACTTACGATCATCACTGTGTCCCTACGGACATGTGATCAAAATTTGAGCACTTGGCAACCAATATGTATTTACAACAGCTGTAGCATCCATTTGCGACCTTTCCAGGGTGCTTCTGACAAGCAAAGTCAGTAGGGGAGATCGGTTTTGCTTAACAACTGCGTGATTCCTTTAATGAGTGAACGGTCATAAAATTGGATGCGACTTAATTAAGGACTGCTTTGCTTATTTCTGCTGCATAGACTCCATTCATGGCAAGTGTTAGGAAGCCACTTTACAAAGCCAGGGGCAAGTTGTGACTTTTATTTTCTATTTTCAAATGGCCCTCTTCCTGTAAGAGAAGGAGTGGCAGAACCTGGGGATGGAGTCAAAAGAGGACTCAGCCTACAGTCTCTAAGTAGCCACAAATGCATTAAGTCTAACCCCTCTTGAATTTTGTTAAGCCTTAGCTAGCACCAAAATAGTGCTAATCGTTAGTTAGATTCCCATGCACAGGCATGAGAAATAAATGACTAAATTAAAACTTCACCTGTGATCCTGGTCTTTCCTACCTGACACTTCCTTTCTCATCCTGCTTTCACATCCATGTCAGCGCAATGTTTTTCCCATTAACTGAAGAAACCAGGAATCACTTAAGGCACTCAACAAATGAAGTTTAAGTTCATAATGATGGGCTTCAGATTTTGTAAGCGAGGCCATGTTCAAACACACACTAGGCAACAGTGCTGGAGAATCTTGACCTAATGAAAGCCATTTTAAAGAACATGGACCAGATGTTTCTCTCTGATCCCTCCCAGCAGTTAGAGCAACTCAATAAAAGTTGAACAGCAAGAAAAGAGTTAGTGAACCAAAATACAAAGCAGAATTTGTTCTTGGTTGAAAGTGACTACTACATTGTATGGATTTGACAATCCAGGAAATGACTTGTTCTTGAGGATATTGTTTTTTAGTTATGTCCACCAGCAAGGAGAAATCAAGTAAGAGAGATGAGGTGGAATGCATTAGCATGCATTTCGAAAGCCCTACAAATCAGATTCTCTAAAACAGCGGTCTCCATCCTTTCCAGCTTGGCGGCCCGGCCCAGCACAGGGGAGTGAGGGGTGGGCTGTGAATGGCAGGCGCACCTGCGCATGCATAGCTCAGTTTCTGCGAGCAGTGGGCTCGCGTGCCCTCCACTTGCTCTAATGGAGCACAAGTGACGGGTGCTTGAACAGAGGGCGCTTGTGCTCTTGCGCGAAGTTCCACTTGTGCGAGTGGAGTTTCACACGCACATGTGCTTGCCCATCTCTCCCGCAGTCTGGTTTCAAACAAGCCGTAGCCCGGGGGTTGGAGGCTCCTGCTCTAAAATCTTTTCATCCCTTTCTGCTGATAGGCTCTTTATATGTTGAGTTTTGTGTTTCATTGGGTGGCCCCCACTGGCATTCTGTCAGAAGCAAATTGATCTTTGTTGCCTGCTTTGGGACTTGTGGCAGAGGAGTAAGAACTGAAATACTGATAATCCTCAACATAGGATTATAATGGACCCTGCCCATTACGGTCACGATGTAGGAGATGACCAGGCTGAGCCCCAGGTCGGGGTCAAACGCATCCTCAGTTTGGAGTCACCAAAGTCCAGCCCTCCTTGAAGTCCATTGACTCTTACCTGGCACCAATTTTTCTTGACCATTAGTAGATCAGATTATGTAGGAGATGACCTGGCTGAGCCAGAGGGAGGGGTTAAACACGTCACCAGTCGTGAATCACTGCACCCCCACAAGCGATCTAAGTCCAGCCCACCTTGAATGGCTTTCTTATCTCCCGCTCATTTCCCTTGACCGTTAGTAGGTCAGGTTTTTGCAGAGAGCTTAAGTGTGCAATAAATCTTTATACACCTTTGAACTACCTGATTCTTCTGAATTCCCCGGCGCTTGACAGATTATCGTTTATAGGTTGCGTGGAATAAATTTGTAGTGCTTTTGAACTCTATCCTGGCTCCTGATTTCTTGCACCTGACACATATGTTGTAACGGTTATAAAAATGCATCGGTCACTTGACCAGTCCGATTTTACAACTTTTTGTGGTGGTCATTAAGGGAAGCACCACAGTTGTTAAGCAAACCGATAATTCACTATGGGCAGGGGTAGGCAACCTCGGCTCCTTTATGACTCATGAACTTCAACCCCCAGCTATGCTGACTCAGGAATTCTGGGAGTTGAAGTCCATGAGTCATAAAAGAGCCGAGGTTGCCTACCCCTGACTATGGGCATGGTTTTGCTAAAAACTGGGTGTAAGTGCCGGGTTTTTTGGCAAAACCATCATAAAACGCAGTTGTGTGATCACAGGACACTGCAAATGGCCATCAGTGTGTGGCCATGTTGTCGAGCACTCCAAGTTCGGTCATGTGACCGTGGAGGGGGGGCCTGACCGTTGGAACTTCATATTCAGGTCACAAGTCCCCTTTTTCAGATTGGTTGTAACTTTGATCCGTCATAAATCGAGGATCACCTATGTGAGGATCGATTTCCCGAGGACATTTTGGATGGGCTGGGCAACCTTTGTGCACCGTTTCTTGGTATATTATTTTTATTTTTTGTTTTTGAGGGCTCATGGCTGGTGTTGAAGTGGCACCACAGACCACTTTTTTCGTGTTTGGTGAGGGGAGGAATTACAAGATTCTATACTCTTTGTGCTTAACTATGCAAGCAGCTGTACTGCTACAAAGCACAATCTGACGGTGCTCTGGAAGCCATAAAATGGTATGGGGCTCCAGGCTATAGATTGCCCATCCTTTTTACAGCCCATTATTTTTAAATGCTTAACTTGGATTTTGCTTTTTTCCCCTCTTCCTTTCTAAAGCAGAGAGAAAGGCATTGCAAGTCTGATTTTTAATTCCCTAAGGGGAAATAAAAACAAATGCAGGGACAATACAGATTCCTACTATTTAAGGCTTAAATCTTTGAAATAGCAGTGGAGAATCTATTGTCCAGCCAATCTCTGGTGGGGAGAGGGAGGGACAAAGTTCCCACTTTTGCATTACCGATTGCTTTGTTGTTTGCAAACCGTGATTCTCTCGACTTGCAAAGGAGAGTCTTAACTTGAGCTTTGAGCATTACTGGTTTCATCTGACGAAGGAAGTATTAATTTCACGTAACAGTTTTCTGTTTCTTTAAATAGACCGTCTAGGAAATAAAGGGCAGAGGATCTTAATCCTGCCCCAGAGTCCTTGGCAGCTTCTTATCTCTATGGTGCAATTCAAGGGTTCTGCTATGATCAATTGGCCTGGCCCATCTTGGCTTGTAGTGGCTTGTGGACATTTTTCCACCACACCTTGGCACCGTCCCCCTCTCTCTTCCCCACCCCGATTCCCGAGTCACATTTTGCTCCCTGACTAACCCCTGTGGTGCTGTGTGAACCCAGCAGTACGGATGAGGCGCTATCCCTGGAGGACAAAGATCTGAGGGACCGGGAGAGGCGGATGGCCAATAATGCAAGGGAGAGGGTGCGCGTACGGGACATTAACGAGGCCTTTAAAGAGCTGGGACGCATGTGCCAGATGCACTTAAAAACAGACAAAGCACAGACCAAACTCATCATCCTTCAGCAAGCAGTACAAGTCATTCTAGGCTTGGAACAGCAAGTACGAGGTACGGCGCTAGGGGTGCCCCCCCACCCTGAGGTCATTCTCTTGCATGGGTGGGAGGCTGTCTCTTTCCGGGATGTCCCCTACTTCGCATGAGTGTCTTCTATGCCTGTCCCTTCCATCCTTTGCTCAGGGTGCTACGTTTTGGTTGCAAAGACTTCTTAAGTTTTGCTTTGCTTTATTGCTCTGTCGGCTGCACATGGACCACTGCGGAAATGATCCCCAAAAGACCGAGGGTCATTCTGTGTCCAGAATGAAGGCTAAACAACCCGTGACTTTTCAGAGGTGGGAGTATGCAGAGTCTAAGTATATCCATCCGAACTTGCTATCCAGAGCCCTGATGCCTGTTTAGAGACTGGCTGACCACTAGGTGGCAGCAAAGCGTGAGAATTGTCTGGTTTCTCTTTGCTCCCATCTAGTGACCATCTGCGTTGATAGCAGCCAAATCCGGTAGTGGTAGCCTTACCGCAGCTCCCCCAGACCTTGCTGTTTCCCTCGCTGGGATACTTTCTCTCACTTGTGCAGCATGTATATTCATCCTCTGTTTTTCCACTCTTCTACTTCTTGGGGAGGACAGCAGAAAGAATTGCTCATTGCAAGATATTTACTCCCATCTAGGTTTTCTCCTCCTTCCCATGGCGCGTGTTGTTGTTTTTTCTCTCTTTCTCCCAGAACGCAATCTCAATCCTAAAGCAGCTTGCTTGAAACGTCGCGAAGAGGAGAAAGTGTCTGGCGTGGTGGGTGATCCCCAGATGGCACTTTCGGCATCTCATGCAGGATTAGGAGATGGGCACAACCCCGTGGGACATATGTAAAGGTACTTTCTGCTGGGACTTTTCTTGAAGGGACAAAACGGGATATGCAGCTCCTTCACGTGTGAATGTTTATTTCTTTATTTACTTGCCACCCATCTTGCCACGGGTGACTTTGGGCGGCCTACCACATTAAAAACCATTAAAAACCAAGAGAAAGAAATATACAGATACACATTATAGTTAAAGATGGGGAGGGAAGGGGCAGGGTGCACAGGGGAGTGTGATCTCCCATTGCCCCCTCAACTACCTCCAGTGTGATACTCCCCCCAAGCGAACTGGCAGAGCCAGGTCTTCGAGCTTTTGCAGAAGGCCAGGAGGGTGGGAGTAGGCCCTACCCCGGGGGGCAAGCCGTTCCAGAGTGCAGGAAAATAACAAGGCAGGACACAAATAAGTCAAATAAATATAAGTAAATTACAGGAGTCACTATCCCTAAAATAGTGGATGGAGCAGGAGATAATAAACCTAATAATAAATTGGTCAGTGAGGAGTTCTCGTTTCATTTTCTTTACTCACTACCTGACAACAGGTAGTCCTCGACTTACTACAGTTCATTTAATGACTGTTCAAAGTTACAGCGGCACTGAAAAAAGTGACTTAGGCCCAGTGGTGGGATTCAGCCGGTTCGCACCAGTTCGACAGAACCGATACCTAATGGTGAACCGGTTGTTAAAAGGATGGCACTTGAAAAAAGCAGAGTCTGTGTGCGGACCTGCCTCGCGCTTGCCCCGCGTCCGCCATGCTCTCCACGGCGCACTGCAGCTGATCTGAGGCAGCTGGCCAGGGACAGAAGCACTGCCGAAAACAATGGAGTCTGTGTGCGCGCCTGCTACGTGCTCACCCGTCACGTCATGAGGATCGTCGCGCCACTTGCAGGAGACCGCGAGGATCGTCGCACCAATCGCGTGCCAAGCGTCACGGCCTCCTGCAGCAAGCAGCAGCAGCACGATCGGCACAATGAGCCTCAAGGCATCCTGTAGCAAGGCGTCCTGTAGCAATGGCGCGATCAGCGCCCAACAGGAGGCGCCTCCACGCACGCCACAGCCGTGTGGCAGCCTGAATCCAGGATCTATGGTAACCCAGGAGGAGGCCGGCAGCAGTTTGCCTGCGCATTCCTTGACCCAGAGGGCTTGGAGCCGGGTGCCTCAAGGCTTCTTCCAGTCAGCAAGAAGCCGAGCTGCACGTGCCACAGCAGCAGGCAGATTGGCGCCGCCAAAGCCGGCCTGGTGCCTAGCAAGAATCTACACCTCCCCCCGTGCCTCGGCCTTCACGCTCCTTTGTAGCTGGACGATTGATTTAGCGAAGGCACGAGGGGGAGGCGGGCGGTGCAGATTCCCTGTCCACGGAGAAGTTGGCAAAGGAAGAAGGCGAGCGGCAGCCCCAGCAGCAAGAAGGGCCGCCGAAAACAGCAGAGTCTATGTGTGTGCCTGCCTTGCCCGAGTCAGCCATGCTCTCCATAGCGCACTGCAGCTGATCCGAGGCATGGAGAGCACGGCTGACGGGTGAGCGTGTAGCAGGCACACGCACAGATTTTGCTGTTTTCAGCGGCCCTTCTTACCACTGGGGCTTCCGCTCGCCTTCCTCCTTATGCGTGCCTGCTACGTGCTCACCCGTCAGCTGTGCTCTCCACGCCTCAGATCAGCTGCAGCGTGCCGTGGAGAGTATGGCTGACTCGGGCAAGGCAGGCACAAAAACAGACCCCGCTGTTTTCGGCGGCACTTCTTGCCCCTGGGGCTGCCGCTCGCCTTCCTCCTTTGCCAACTTCTCGTGCACAGGGAATCTGCACTGCCCGCCTCCCCCACCCGTGCCTTCGCTAAATCGATCATCCGGCTAGAAATGAGGTTTAGCAGGCCGAGCGCACAGGGGGAGGTGGGTGGTGCAGATTCCCCGTGCATGAGACCGGGGTTTTTTTCCCCCACTGCCAGATTTTCACTGTCATACTGTTTAAGTTTCTTTAAAGTTTACTTGATGCAGAACGGGAAGGATCCCCATTCTGCATCAAGTAATCTTTAAAGAAACTTAAACAATATGGCAGCAAAAAATCCGACAGTGGGGGAAGAAACACGGTTTTTTGAGACGCCAGGCTGGCGTGCATTCACATGCCTCCAATCCCCTTGCTTGTTGCAAAGCCAGATTGGAGTCCTCGGGCTGCTCCTTCCAGCCCATTTCAGAGCCGGTCCAAAAGTGAAGGGAATGGTTCCCACCCCACCCAATCCCTGCGGGGCTTCATTTCCAAAGACCCTCTGCACAGGCTCCGGACAAACCAAGATGTGGGACTGAAAAAGCAGCAATGGGAGTGAAGGGTTGTTCAAAGGAAGAGGAAGAAAGAGAAAGTGGGAGAAGTCACTACCGAACGGGTGAGGCACAACAGGTGTCAAGGTTTGGTAGGCCTGGCTGCGGGGGCCCTTCGGCACGGTAAGCGGGGAGTATGAGGCAACTGCTCCCTCCCCCACCTGCCTCGTGGCAATGCCCCCCCCGCCTCCCCCCCCGCAGAGAACCAGTTGTTAAATTATTTGAATCTCACCACTGCTTAGGACCCTTTTTCACACATGACCGTTGCAGTATCCCCACAGTCACGTGATCAAAATTTGGATGCTTGGCAACTGACTCATATTTATGACGGTTGCAGTATCCCGGGGTCATGTGATCCCCTTTTGTGACTTTCTAACCAGCAAAGTCAATGGGGAAGCCGGATTCAGTTAACAACCGTGTTACTAACTTAACAGCTGCAGTGATTCGCTTAACAACTGTGGCAAGAAAAGTCGTAAAGCGGGACAAAATTCACTTAACACATGTTTCACTTAGCAACAACAAATTTGGGCTCAGCTGTGTTCGTAAGTCGAGGATTACCTGTAGCTGGTTCTGCTGTTTCTCATAAAGTGATCTGTGTAGAACAGGGGTCTTCAAACAGGCATGCCTGGCTGAGGAATTCTGGGAGTTGAAGTCCACAAGTCATAAAAGGGCCACGTTTGAAGACCCCTGGTGTAGTAGAACATCCAGCTTTCTATACCCGTGGTGGCGAACCTATGGCACTGCACGCAGAGCCATAGGTGGGCACGCGCGCCGTCGCCCCAGTCCTAGGCCTTCAGCTGGCTTTTATAAAACCTTTTTGCTTTAGGCCTCCGCCACCATGTGCAAAAAAAAAAAAAGTTCAATCAATCAATTTCAACTTCTCGCGGGAAAAAAAAATCTTGCAAAGTTGGAATTGATTGATTGAACTTTTTAGTCCCACCCAGTCCCACTGTAGCCACGCCCACCCAATTGGCCACACCCACCCAGCACCTGACGATACATAAGTGGGTTTTGGGTTGCAGTTTGGGCACTCGGTCTCTAAAGGTTCGCCATCACTGGATTATGTTAAACGACAGCTCTAATGATCACAGTCAGTGGGGAAAATGTTGGATGCGATGGTTCAGCAACATGTGGAGAGGTACATGTTCCACCCCTAAAGAAACTAGATGTTCATTAACTTTAAAGTTTATTTTTAAAAGATTCCTGGATGGTTCAAGAAAGCATCTCAGTCCCACCGTAGCCACGCCCACCCAATTGGCCACACCCATTCGGCACCTGACGAATACATAAGTGGGTTTTGGGTTGCAGTTTGGGCACTCGGTCTCTAAAAGGTTCGCCATCACTGTTCTATACCTTTTCGGTTTTTTTGTTTTTTTTTTTACAGGTGATTTGTTTTTTTCCCTTGACCTGGAAGAAGATATCTGTAGGAAGAAGCGAGGACTGGGTCATTTTCACACCCCTGCTGGGTGTCCACGCCAGAAACTGCAGTCTTGTTGAAATACTGACATGGCAATGGAAATTCAGTGTGCTCGAAGGAACTTTTATTTCCCTCCACCAGAAAGGAAAAGCAACAACGTTATCCAAAACAAAAAACAAAAAAACCACAAAACACAAAAAACCCAACAGCAAAGATTGCCTTAACTGTATATTCTGGAACTCTTAATGCATATCCTTCAGTGGGAGGTGGGGGGAGACATTTAAGTGGCTTGCGTTCACAAAAGGCCAGCAGAAGAAATTGTGCCTATACGTTTGTTTCTTTTTTTTCTTTTCTTTTTTTTAAAAAGAACATTAGTTACAATAATTTTTTAAATGTAGAACAAACATAGTAATGCCTTTTTTTTGTTTTTTAAAGCTTCTTTTGCATCTCTGTTTTGTAAGCAACAAAAAAAAATGTAAAAAGAGAGAGAGAGAAAGAGAGAGAGAAAGAGAGAGAGAAAGACTTGATGATTCCCCATGCCTTTTTCTGCTGCTGTTTCTATAGTTATTGTTGCATATTATTTTTTAAATAAGATCAACCAGAAATATTAAAAGTTTGTATTAAGAGACTGGATGTTTTTTAAAAAAGAAAAAGAAAAACAAAAGAAGAGATTGGTACAAGAGAGGTTTGCGTTTTGGCTCTGAGACAGTTGCGTGCGTTTAGCGAGCGGGTTAAAATCTTCCCTAAGGCTAGTAGCTTTTATAATTAAAAGAGAGAACGAGAGAGGGGAGAAAATACTGATTATCACCTCAGTTCCTTTTTGTCGCTTGGAATATTGGAGGGTTGGAGGGGGAATGAATCCAATCAGCTGCTAGTCTTTGTGTCATCGTGGCTTATGTCTTTCACCCAAAGGATGCAACCAGTTGCAATTCTGGGAAGTTTTCTGTTTGGTCTGGCCCTCTCCCATCTTCCCTGCCACTCAAAGCATTTCCAATCCCTCCTAACAAAAATAGAGAAAGAATGACTCACAGCATTTCTGAACATTGGTTGGAAAACATGGCTTTGAGTTGGGTAGCAGCCTCTGTGTCAAGCGCAAAGGATCAGGACCATATGTTAAGTCGCAATTCAGAAGGATTCCTTGCTCGAGCCTATACACAAGAATCTCGTTGACCAAAGTTCAAATCTGAACCGGCGCCAGATAAGGGGTCAACGGAATTCAAGGGGGGCTGGACTTGGACCATTTGTGGGAACGTAATGACTTTAAGCTGATGACGCATTTAACTCTGCCCCCTCCAGCTCTGCCTGCACTTCTACATTCTGGGAGTTTGCAGACGTAGTCTTCAAAGGCACATAGGAGATGGAAAACCACTTGCCTTTTTTAAAGCACTGGTGCAAATTGACATGGAACAAAAGGAAGCAAAAGATCCTAACAGGTTACAGTCAGAACAAAGATCTCATGGGAGAAAAGGAACAAGAAAGCCACACCCAGCGAAAAATAAATAAATGGAGATATAAATATATATCTATATATAGATATATATGTATGTATATCACCAGAGAGAGAGAGAGAGAGTGGCATGCAGAATCCAAGTTGCTGTTGTGAAAAAAAATACACACACCAAAGAAGACGCATCAAGGAACTCTCCTACCCAGCTTGGCAATGCTTCACGTCTCAGAACATGCTGCTGCCATCACCCGTTGCATTTCTGCAGAAAATGCTGGTGGGGTGGCTCCAACTTTTCCCCTGATCCCCGTGTGCTCTCATGTGAGATCCTTCCCCGTTTTTCATGGACAGAGAAGGAGAATACTGATGTCTCCCCGATGCCAGAGAAATCCCCCGTAAGATTGCTTCGCCCCTGGGGAGGAAGAAAGGTATCCTGTATGCAGTATTTCTCAACCTCAACAACTCAAAAGATAAGTAGACTTCAGCTCCCAGAATTCCCCAGCCAGTGTTGCCGGCTGGGGGATTCTGGGAGTTGAAGTCCACCTATGTTCGAGTTGCTGAGGTTGAGAAACAGTGCTCCAATGCCACTGAGAGAGGTTTATGATAAAGGGCTCCATGGGGATTGACTTTTCTGCAAAATGTCTGCCTTGACCTCTCTGTAAAAAGGGAGAAAAGACCAGACACTGTACCTTTGGATGACAAAGGAAATGCCAGCCAAGTCAAATTGGCACGATCTCTTCCATTTTGTCCTCTGCTTTGACTGAATTGCAGAATTCTTGTTTTCTGACCACAGGAGTGACTTCTGCACAAAAGTGGAAATAGGAGGAAAGTTCTGAAGAACATAGGAGAAGAAATGTTGCAAAGGTCCTCCGGAGAGCCCTGACCTTCCCTCTCTTCCTTCTCTCTGTTCCATGGGCAAAGTTGGAAACCAGGATCGGGTTGTCGCTGGGTTCAAATGGCTTTGCACTGACTGAGGGAGCAGAATGGCATCTGCAATCCAAACCACATTTTCTTACCACCACCGTGGTGATGTGGGTTCTGCAAAGTGGAAAGGCTGGCCAGGTCCTTCTAGTGCCAGATCTCCCCAAATCTCTTTCTAGTCCACCAGCATGAAACCAGCTTCTCCTTTAATTATGGTTTTGTTTTGTTTTGATTGCTTAAAAGGTATTTCTGTTGAAAGGGGAGCATCTTTCCAAGGTATGTCTACACTACAAGCGCTAAGCTAGTTTCAGATCACTGTCTGGAGAAAGTGTTGCTCCACCTTAGAACTTTTAAGACAGGTGGACAGCTGGCTGAGGAATTCTGGGAGTTGAAGTCCACCCATCTTAAAGTTGCCAAGGTTGAGAAACCCTGAGGAATCCTGCAGGTTGATAACGATGTTAAGAGCTCTTGGTTCATGAATGTCTGTGCATTCCCAGTGGGACCCTCTTAAAACTACGTTTTGCAGATCTCCTGTATTTGGGAACTGCCGTAGCCAGAAACGGGTTTGAAACCAGTTTTAGGTTTGTAATATAGATGTGTCCCAAAGTCTCTTGGGATATTTATTTTTCGGGGGGGGGGGTTGTTTAGGAGACACAAAGGGACGAGCAGAAAAAAAAATCAAGTTGTCATGGGAAAAATGTAACATGTTTTGTTATCAAAAATAAGGGTTCAAGAATGCAGAGAACAAAATGTAACTTGATTCCCATTAAGATATATTTTTTTAGAAGGGGTGGGGAAGGCTGTGTATCTTTCAGTCCTTGTAGAGTGTTTTAAGGGTTCTTTTGTTATTATGGTTTTTTTTATATTAAAAAAATGATTTGTTTTGCTTTGGGAGGGCTGCCTCAAGCCAGACACAGTTTAATCATGGCAATGTCTTATGGAAATGAATGGACTAACTTAAGTCTTTCGGTGGACTTAAGTTTTATCTAACTGTATATGGGTTGGAGTCTTGGTGTTTGCTGCCTATGTGTAAAAATCCAGCTGTACTTAACTGGCTGAGATCCTTGTTATTGAATCAGATACACATTATAGTTTTTAAAGATATATATATATATATAGTATAAATAAATAAAATATATATATATATGCCTAACACCAATAAAAAAGGGAAAAAGGAAGAAAAGTATTGGGGGGAGGGAAAGGGGCAAGATAGTTTAAAAAATAATTTTTTTGGACTGATTCAGAATTACTGGGATGGGGAGCACGGGGGTTAAAGTTGTGTTTCTGAGTGCCTCAAGATATGGATTGTGTTCATTTTTTAAAAAAATATATATAATAATTTTATACAAGTGTCAAGAAAAAAAACAGCTGGCTGGATTATTTGGAATTTTTAAATAATCCTTAACTTTTTTAAAAGTAGACTTTTGAGAACTGTCCTGTATATAACAGTAATGTAGCAATAAATGTGACATTTTATAACAATATTACCTTTTCCCCTCTCCCCAGATCTGTCTTTCAGATGTTGTATACCTATCAATGAAAAAAAAGTTGTAATAAAGGTTTTACCTTGTACTAAAACTACCTCTGGTAGTCTTTTTGTTTCCATCACCTGCTAAAGCTTGAAATTTTGCGATTTTTTGATGTTGCAACTGGAACATTACTTCTGCTTTTTCTTTTCCCTATAAACCATGCTCCTTAAGTCATAACCCATAACAAAATAAAGGTGCATTTTTATAGGAGAAAAGCATTCATTGTGGAAGGAAAACGAGCAAGACGGCACTGACATCCATCGCTATCATAAAAAAAAAAATCTGAAATTAGAGTTCCTGTTTCTGCATCAGGCAAAAATCACATTGCTGAAAAAATTGGCACATTTTTAAAATTATGTATTTATTTGTTAAATTTATGGAGCCAACTATCTCACATGTGAGACTCTGGGTGGCAGAGACAATTAAAATAACAAAAACATTTAAAAAATATTAAAATGCAAGTTTTTTTAGTTTACAAATATAACAAAAAGCACAGAAGAGTGCATTCCAAAAATATGAACAATGCAACTTCTTCACAAATTCTATCCTTCCGTAGGATCCCCAGGCTTGTAAAAGCCATATTTTAAAGGATTTCTGGAAAGTCATAAAGGTCCAGGCCAACCTCACCTTGATAGGAGGGAATGATGTTCCAAAGAGCAGGTGCCACCACAAAAAATGCTGTCCTGAATCCTGGCAGATAAAACTCCTTAGTAGATGGAATCCATCACATGCCCTTTCTGTTGGCTCTGATGAGATACTAAATGAATAACTTAGCCCCCTGCCGTGTAGGTCTTCAATTCAGCACCATGAATTGAACCGAGCAGCAGACTGGCAACCAACACACTTGTGGAGCAGAGGTATGACATGTGCAGGTCTAGGGGCACACATAATTACCTGCACTGAGGCATTTTGCACCAACTGAAGCTTCCAGATGCTCTTCAAGGGCAACCTTTTCCAGCATTAGAGGTTGGTCTTTGCATTTCTGAGGTAGTATAATTTGAGCCTGGTCTATTTGAGCCTCAAGTGAGAACTCTGGGTTGATTTGTTTGATGAACTATTGCAGGGGTGTCAAAACTGGCAGCCCACGGGCTGGATGTGTCGCGTGCAGGTCACGCCCTCAGCTCCACAAAGGCAAAAATATTGCGATACATTATGCTACATCACGTGATGCGATCGAGTTTGACACCCGTGCTCTATTGCTTTGTTTTCTGGGCTGATCTTGGGAATCTCAGGACTTTTCTCCAACACCAAACCTTAGAAATGTCTCCAAGTTTCTAAAGGTTCAATACTTCGTATCATGCTTCAAAATCCATCTTCTGCTTCCATTGAGTGTCATAGGAAATGCCATTGCTGTCTAATACTTCTCCAAAAATATAGTTCAGAGGTATCTATTATGTTTCTCTTGCACTTTCTCAGGACTTTGTTTTCACTGTACCACCAGAAAGACTATTGCTTTAACTATGATCTTGATTGTCATTGAAATGGTCTTATTCTTCACTATTTTGTCTTATGTTGGTCACTGCCTTGTTCCTTTGCATTAACCTCAACACACTATCTACTGTCTGGACTCCAAGAACATAGAGTTATTTTTCATCTTTTTTGCTGTCAATTGCAAGTTCACAAAGTATGCAGGTTAATATTCTGTTTTCTTTCTGATATTATTAAAGTTTTCACTTTTCACTTTTTCTTTCATAACAAGCTATGTTCTTTATTTTAGTAATACAAACATATCACCTGTTTCTTTCAAAGTATTAAGTTTTCAATTTCCAGTTTTTACTCCCACAGGTCTGTTCCATCTTGCTCCAATTGTACTTAATATGCAGGCCATATATCTGTTTAATTTATATAAAGAATATAATGGATTGAGAAACAATATGCATCCTCG